CCCCCCCAGCTCCATCGTGGTGGCCCCTGGAGCCAGACAACGGGCCTTTGAAGTTCAGCTGTTGCACCGGCTATGGACCTTGGTCAAGTTCCTTCCTTCTTCCGAGCCTTGGGGTTCTCATTCATAAAACAGAACAAGAATAGCTGACTAGGGGGTTGTTGTGGGGATTAAAGTATGTCCAATAAAGCTTGACAAAGAGAAAGAGGTCAATAAATGTTCCCCTGGGCATTGGGATTTGGGTTTCGCTCCACCATCATCAGATAGCTGCACAGGATCCTGTGATTCAGCTCTCTTAGGTCACCTCTTAGAATTTACATATGACACACTGATTCTAGAAAGTAGATCAAAGGTGACCTGGGTTCCACAAAAGGAGGAGGACAGCAATGCCACCGATTTGGGACAACAGGTCATTCACACTGCGTGGAACTTCCTTTGGTTCCTCACGCCGCCTATCTATCACCCAGAGTTCCTTTCATTTCTCATCCCTGCTCTTTGAGTAATGGGGTTCCATTTGGGATAATGGGGTGAAAAGCTTCTAGTACCACGGCTGGAGGAGCAACATTTGTGGGGGGTCAAATCCCGCGCTCTCAGTGAGGCCATATGGGTTGGTTGGGAGAAGCATGGGTTCAAATCCTGGCTCAACTGCTCTCTAGCTATGTGCCTTGGACAAGTGCCTTCACCTCTCCAATCCTTGGTTTCATCACCTCTAAAATGGGAATAATAGGATTTGCTGCTTGTCTCCCAAGCTGATGTTTTGCAACTGAAATGGAAACCAGGCTCTGGCAGCCCAGGCTGAGATTTGAGATTAACTGGGGCAAAGGGTTGATGAGGTGGAGGAACCAAGGCCGGAGGAATTTATGGCAGCCCAGGGTTTATGGCTTTGATATGGACTTATAAAGCACGCTCTAGGACCGCAATCGTCTCCTCTGGCCCCCGCCCCCATGTCCATGTTGGCAGCAGCGCGGATGAGGTTTCTGTTGCAACATTATGGAAAACATTTCCTGGTACTCATGAGTGGAGGGAATGGACAGGAAGGCGGGAGCGGCCCCATGATAAGGCAGGCAGCTAATGGGTGCTCTTGAGGCTGGAGAACTTAATGGTTAGCCTCTTACTAGAAAGGGACTGGCTGAAAAGTTCACACTCACTAAGTGCCTGATGGTGGCCACTTTGGGCACCTCATAAACACAGTAGCTCTTACAGTTAGTAAGATCTCATTCCATTTAATCCTGACAACACACCTGCAAGGAGGGATCATTCCCATTTTACAGATGCAGCTCAGAGGAGTGACCAGACCAAGGTTACACTAATCACCAAGATGTGTGATTCCAGGGTGGGAACTGTTGTCCCCTACATTGGGAAAGAACTAAAAGGGTCACTATGCTCTGCCCTCATCCTTGAATGACACCACACCTAGGCACCCCACAGTCCAGCCATCAGCAATCTCCCATTCAACCATCATTGAATGCCACAGTGTGCTGGTGAAAGTCTAACAACCGGCTCTACAGGGCAAAGCCTCAATCCACCACCATCATAACAACTGTCACCCTCACCCCTTTGCTCTGAATATTAAGAGCCAGTATTAAGAGCCAAATAGTGTTTGCCAGTTCCTGTGGTGTAAATGCTCCCACCACTGCTATCAATGTGACATTGCCCAACAGAGAGTTGGGAAAGTAGTTAACAATCAGCTCTCACAAGCCAGCTCCGGCACACCTCTGAGGGAATGTGAGGCTGTGGTCTTTGGTGGCTAGTTTACCAGCAGACAAGACCAAGGTGGCTATGAACCTGGCTGGAAATACTCTCACGTGCATCCCTTGCTATTATTCTTTTTCAAAACAACACTCGCTTTGATGAAATTTCCCCATGCCTACTTGTCCCTTATTGCTAGCAGGTTGACCCGGGACCCAGAACAGGGCTCCATCTTGGACTCTGATGGTAGATAACAAACCCTTGGACCCTCTTGCCATTCTTCCAGATCTTTCCATCATCCCCTCCCTTATCAACTTTCACTCTCTCCACATACTGAGTACTCAAAATCAAGGGAACAGAGTTAGATTCCCAACTTTCAAGGAAAATCACTTCCCCTGAGCCTCAGTTTCTCCATCTATAAAATGGGGGGTGGTAACGATAATGTTTAACCTGCTTACCTCTCGATGTGAAGATTAAACAACAATCATGGCTTTGAAAGCACTTTGCACACTGTAGGAGGCTATCTGACTATTTTCATTCTTATTTCTAACACCTGAAAGGAAGAAAAAACACCCATCCAAGGACTTAGAAAACATATGCGCCATTTATTTAGCTTTATAAACTCTCGTTAAAACACACAAGAAATGTTTTTTTGTTTGTTTGTTTCTTTGCCCCATTGGGTGGCAGTGACGGGGCTCAGGTGTCAGCACAGGACCTAATGACATTCACACCACCCGGAAGATGCTGATGGATCTGCCAGACCCAGCCCACTTCCAGAACTGCTTGATGTGAATTTCACACTTCATCCCAATCAGGGTAAATCACTGAGCAATCTGGCAAAAGTAATTGGCTTGGTCATCACAAGAAATCTAGGAGCATTCATTTACAGCCCTTCCCCTCCTCCGTCCCCTCTCTGGAGAGCCATGGGGACTCCAGAAGCTTCTGAGAGCCGCCTAGAAGGGGTTGTCTCAGTGGAGGGATTATAGGGCGCATGCTTGCCCTCCCAACCATTTTTTAGTCCATCAGATTTTGTTTTAGGACCATGACTCAGGTAGACAAAAATTCCAATGTGGTGTCCTTCAGTTTAGAATCAGAAGGGTAAACTTGTCTTTATTTTGTTTCCTGCATTGCAATAAAATTATTAAAGTGGGATGGATTTCTCCTCCAGGAAGAGTATGGACAGTATTATTGACCCCTGCCCCAGAAAATTGCTACCGTTAAAAGCCACTGTTGCCCCACTCCACCCCATGGGAGATTCTTATCTCAACCTTGCTCCCATGACATTGGGGGTGGAAGAGCAAACAGCAGCAATGACCATGGTGAGCAGAATGGCTCCAGCTTCCCTACCTTGCCCCGCACCGATCTGAGCCCCCTGGCTGGGATTTCTGGGGAACTGAAGGGAGATGTGGCTAAGGAAGGCCGGAGAGCGCTGAGCAGGGAACACTCTCTCTTGGGATTGAGGACTTGGCTTGCTGGCGTGGGGAAGGCTGATTCTGATGGCACTGGAGATGCAGAGATTTCTCTTGGACACACTGTCCCCATATCCTTCATGCCTCTTTTGCTAAAAGGAACAATCAGTAATGATGAAATTTGGGGGCACTGGGGTACTGCCCTCATCTACTCAGAAGGGTCAGCCCTGGATGGGGGTAGGTCACCGGTCTAACTGTTCATTCTCCTACAAAAGCACAGCTCTGGCCCCAGGTCTTGTCCCAGCTTTAATCACCATGGGCAAGTGGCATTTTTCAGAATTCCCAAAAGCCACCAAGAATCTGGATGGACTAGACATTGGCTGTTCCATCCTGGGGCTTAATGGCTCCAGAATGTACCCTAACTCTCAAACCCAGACCTATCCCCTGCCCCCCCACCCAAACCTGCCCACTCCTGGAATGGCAGACCTCAGACGCTTATCCCTCAGAGTTGGGGAACAAAGAGAGAAAAGGGGGTCCAAGAGTTATGAATTCCCCTTGTTTATCAGTAAACAGGATTCTGGACCCTAACTGCACCTCATCCCAATCTTAGTTCTGGGCATAGGCAGGGCTCCTGCAAAGAATGAAATTTTGGCTTCTAAGGCTGGTGAAGGGGGCACGAAGTCCCTCAACTGGAGCTTCTGTTCTGATCGAGGCAGGCCTGGGATCAAGTCCTGACTTGGTCACTTACTAGCTCTGTGAGTTCCAGAGAAATCACTTAACTTCTTAGATCTCAATATCTCCTGTACGGATCTCTGGGTAGTAGGGAGGGTGAAAGGAGGTGATGCATATCAAGTGCCTTAAGATAGTTCCCAGAATAAAAAAGAGCTCGAGACAGGCTCTGGCAGATAATTCCTCCGATATCACTGACCTGAGGATTCACCCACCCTTCTCCATCCCCCGGCCTCATCTCTCCCACCTGGATTACATCATCAGCCCCTTCTGATCTCCTTGCTCCTTCCCAAACTTCCAACCTCTGAAGGACTGCTGTCTTCAGGTTCTAAAAGCTCAGCTGACTACATTCCCTTCCCAGCTACTCACGGCCTAAGAACCCAAGTGTCAATGCCTCAGTCTGGCATTCAAGGCCCCCATGCTGCCCAGCATGCCCACTCTGCTTCAGGCAGCCGTCTTTTCATCGCCCCCCTCCCACGCCCTTCTTCTGACGTCCAGACCTTCCCCAGGCTGTTTGCCTTCCCTTGGAATGTCCTGTCTCACCTGCTCCACCAGCCGGAATCCAACCCTGCCTTAAGGGCCTAGTACACAGCCTGCCCTTCCTGGATGCTTTCTCTGACCCTCCAGCCTTCCCTCCAAGTTCCTGTTGCAGTTGTCCACCACTGTTGAGAGCCTGTAGAGATCATCACACCGAACCAAGGGATCCACCCAAGTCCCTGAAGAAGGGGAGAGCCGTGGGTCAGAGGCAGAAAGTGTCTTCCTTCTCATCAGCCTCCTACACGTGCCTAGCCCCAGTCAGTGCTTTAAAAATGTTCCCAGGATGACTGGGAGAATAGTTTCCAAGTCTTCCTCAGCCTCTGCAGAGGTGGCTTTGAAGAAACGAAAATGGCTGAGGAAGGTGACAGTGGCAGATGGAGAGGACCCCTGGAGGCTGGGGCACAGAGCGGGGAGGAGTAAGGGACCGCGATCCAGGCCCTGAAAGGGCTCTCTGTGTCCGGACACTATGACAGCACTAGGGGAGAAGTACCAGCCCGAGGGGGAAGGGAGCTGTGTTTGAGCAAGGTCCCATGTCGTCTCCAGGCAGTGGTCCTTTGTGGGTGAAGCAGTTGGGGGTAGATATGAATGAAGGGGAAGGCAGTGGCTTTGGCCAGAGAAACGTTGTCCAAGGCAGCAGAGGATTTTCCAGCTGGGTCTCCCCAAGTCAAAGCCCCATCATCCAGAGCAGGGGTGGAGAGTGGCAATGTGACATGGCCCACAGCCCAAGTTCTTGGGCCCTTTGCTCTTTTCATTACTGCTCTGGGACTGGCCCTGTCATCACAGCTTCCTTCACTGTGACCAAGTGACCACCAGGGGCTCTCTGAGGGGGCTGGAGGGCCAGCAGAGCCCCCGACCCCCGGCGGCTTGCTAGATAACTTCTTGCTTGGTGATAGTCAGCTGGGGGATGGCGGAGGGGGGCTTGACAATTGTGGCGATGGCTCCTGGCAGGAGCTTGTAGGGTTCAGATCCAGAGCCACCTGGCGGTGAGGGCTGTGGAGTCTCAGGGGTAGCTGGAGGGACAGAGAGACAGGCTGCTCAGAATTCCAGCCCTTTGGGGAGTAAAGGAACAACCCTGGGAAAGTTCTTTCTCCCTTTCTGGGGCTTAGTTTCCTTTTGTATAAAATGAAAGAATGAAACTCGATCATCTCTAAGGTCTCTTCTGGCTCATACCTTCTGAGTCCCAGATCATAGTCTTAAGCTCCATGAGGTCTGGAAGGCTGTGGCTGGGCCAGGTCACAAAGTCAGAGCCTTTCCCCAGGTCCTGCCAACCTCTATCTCCTCCACCATTCGATATGGAGATGTGAGCTGCTTTTCCCAAACCAGGGCCTAAGTCTGACTCTCCCCAAGGACAGTGGGACATGTGACAGGAGTACCCATTCTTGGAGGGAAGGAACAACAGTTGATGAAACCCAAGGTTCTAGATAACTGGCTTAAAATACCATTTCCCTGATATTTAGGTAGATGAGTAACAGAAACTAATTGGCCTCATCCCCATAACAGGTTCAAAAAGTAAGTTTGACCATGACCCACTTGGCTAATTCTATCCAATGGACAACTTCCCCAAAGAACAATCTCAGTGCAATGAAATCTCATTTCATGGGCTGCCTGGTCCCAGTGAGGACACCCTCACCCAAGGGCAACCTCATCTGGTGGGTTTCCCTCACCTCAAGGACAGCTTCATTCAGCAGAGGCTGTCAGCCACCTCACCGAATAACAGCCTTACCCAGTGGACAACCTCAGCCCTCATCCCTCCCCTGGAGTACAGACAGCTATTGCATTCCGGCTTTCACCTCCTGGACTCAACCTTCTCCTGGCTCCCCTCTTAGCCCCCAAGTCACCCCTTCCTGAGTAGAGCCCAAGATGCCCACCTGCCTGCCCCCTGGGTCGGGGCCACTCACACATCTGTCCGTTGCTGAGATGAGCAGGCATCGTGTTGGCAACAATGACGTTGGTGCCCATGTGCTCCTGCATCAGGTGAGGGTGCAGGGGGTGGTGGGCATGAGTTGCATCACTGGAGGATCCTGCAGGTAGAGGGGAGACTCAGTGAAGGTGAAGAGTTTGGGGTAAGGCCCACGGGCCTTGAAACGCCATCTTCCTCAGGTGCGCCAGTCAGCCTGCTCATGGGCTTACCATTCCCATCCACGGGCTTTATGAGGGCATTAAGAGGACCCAACAAATCAAGAGAACAAAAGTAATTTAAAAGAAACAAGGAGCATGTAACGAAGCATCGAGATAATTTAAATATTATAATGAGTACTGATTGCATGTTAACATAATGGATTTAATCAGTGGCTCCCGAAATTCCTTGGCATGGAAGTCCTTCAACAATTTGCTCCCAACTCACCTTTCAGTCTCACCCCCACACCTTCATTTCAGCCAAGCTGACCTACTTACAGCACCTATGTGTTTCTAAGTACTTTCCTATAATTTCCAATCTCTGTGCTTCTGCTCACATGTTGGCTCCACTCTTCTTATAATAGTTGCATGAGAATAAAATCCAAATTTCTGACCGTGGCCTATCTAACCATATGCTTATCACTTGGTTTCTGCTGGACCTCCATCTTCACCTCATACGACTCCCCCGTCTCACCACCTTACCCTCCTTTCTCGAGCACACTACCCTCTGCTGCGCCAGGACTTCTGGATCAGTTACTTCTGCCTAGAATGTTTTTCTCTTGGCTTTTAAATGTTCTATTTCCTTTCATCCATCAGGCCTAATCACAAAAGTCACCACTTCAGAGAAGTCTCCCTTGGCCAGCCTATCAAAAGAGGCCCCTTTTCAGTTACCCTCTGTTGTTTAGTCAGGTTATTTAAACATCTGTAGTTACCCTCCTTATTATATACATGATTGTTACCTGTTCCCATAGGCCCTTACACACACACACACACACACACACACACACCCCAGCAGGGCAGAGATCTTGTTCTCGGCTGAATCTCCAGCCCTTAGAACAGTCACCAGCACACGCTAGGCTATCAGTTCCTGAATAAATGAACCATTGTCTCCATTTTCCTGATGAAGAAACTGAGGCTCAGGTAGCTTAAGGGACTTGCTCAAAGCCACAGAGTGAGGAAGCGATGGAGCTCAGAGGTGAGCGCAGGTCTGCGTGAGGCTCATCTCTTGGAGAGGCCTCCTGCCTCCGCCCACCTCTCAGCCCCTCCTGGGCCCGGCACGGACCTCCCAGCAGCATCTCCTGCAGCAGGTTGTCGATCTTGGCCATGCCGAAGAGCTTGATGAACTGGATCTGCTCGATCATCTGCCAGGTGATGCTCTGCAGCGTGGGCAGCAGCAGCAGCAGCTCGCCGAAGCGGCCGCGCGAGTCGTACTGGCGGTCGTTGATGTAGTCCTCCAGGCTCACCTGCACCTGGGACCGCAGCCGCTTGATCTTACCCGGGTCACTCAACCCCTTGGCATCTGCAACGGGAGGGGTGGGCAAGGGAGGGCAGTGGGGCCCAGCTGGAGCATCTGGGGAGTCAAGACCCAGGCCTCCCAGACTCCTGGAGCCCTGATAGGGGGCCTAGTGGCCCAAGGTCACGTAGGGAGTCCTCAGCAGTGCTGGGGTGAGGATTCAGGGTCCTCAAGAAGGAGGGTGCACTAACGCAAATGGCAGCTTCCTGGACTCGGCCAGAAAAGTGTTTGTCACATTTCCTAAGACGCAGAACTGGAAGAGGGGAGTGGGGGATGGAGGAAGGGACCTCAGGAACATACCCAAAAGGGCACTTAGCAACTCCCTCATTACACATGGGGAAACTGAGGCACAAGGCAGAGAAAGGACTTGGCCCAGGTCATACATCTGGTTGTTGGCAGATCCATGATGTGGACGTGGGGCTCCTGACTCCCAGTTCAGTTCCCACCATCCAGATCTCAGCACACGCTGCTTCTGCCGCCTTCGAGTAGTATCCCTCTTCTCTGCTCCCTTGCCTGTGTCATCTTAGGGTCTCAGCTTGGGTTTCACCTCCACCTTCCATTCCACCTTCTCCATTCCACCCTCCCTGAGTCTGCATTATGAATGCCCATCATGTTCCCAAAATCCTCTGGCTCTTCTGTTACTACTGACTGCACAGGAGGCAACTGTCTCCTCCACTAGACTGTGAGCATATGCCTCATTTGTCATTTTAAACCCACCACCTAGCACCATGCATAGTCAATACTTGTTCAATAGATAACTAGATGAAAGACTAGGTAGATCAGATAAATGAGTGGGGGGAAAATCAATGGGTAAATTCTAGACCCTCAATCTCAAGAAGGAGACTCAAGTAATCCTCCAATAGATAATCTTAAACTTCATGGAGGCAATGCATTTATTTCCTAAAGTAAGTAGCAAGAAGAGAATTTCACCCATGCTTCTGGTCCGAGGCTCTTTCCACTAAACCATGTTTGTGCATTGAACACCACCTACATGCCAGGCCCTATTCTAGGTCACCTGCCAGTCCAAGCCAGGTTGCTGACCCTGACTCAGCATCAGGAATCCTGAACATTTTCCTGAGCAATTACTCTGTCTAACCCTGTGCTGAGCGCTGCAGGGGATACAGCCTGGGCCAGGCTCTCAAGGAAACTGGAACAAGCACTCTTTCTGTTTAAGAAGTGCAGGATAGCATGTGGTAGGTAAGAACATGGACTTGAGATCTGGATAGTCTGAACTTCAAATCTGAGCTCTGCCATTTCCTGGTTGTGTGACCTTGGGCAAATTAATCAATTTCCCAGTGCCTCAGTTTCTAATCTGCAAAATGGGGATAATAATTCCTATCTCGCAGGTACCATGTTGCAAATAATAAGTAACATTAAGTAAGATGATGCACACAGAGTGTTTAGAACGGTGTCGTAAAGAGCATTCCATAAATGGTGGTCATCTTCCTCATTACTATTATTATTAGAGGTGACCTCATGCAGGTGGGGCCTAGCTCTAAGACAGTGCCTGGCACACAGTAGGTCTTTTCTAACATGTAAGGAGGAAAGGGAGCAAGTAAGCCTTTGGGGGCCCAGGAATCTTGACAGTGTGAAATAAAATCAGGCTTTGCAGAAAGGCATAACTACAAATGCAGGTGGAAAGTCAGCAGATGGAATGGGGAGAGGAGAGTCAAGAGCTGAAGGAAGGGGTGAGGGTGTAATACAGTAGTCCCCGCTTACCTGCAGGAGATACACTCCGAGAGCCCCAGGCAATGCCTGAGACCACAAACAGAACTGAACTCTTAACATACCATGTTAGAGGCTATACGCAAGGCCAGAAGAAACAGTTAAAAGAATCGGAAACTGGGAGTAGGCTTTAGCAGGAAAAGTGGGGATGGAGGAATATTTGCATTGTAAGTATGTGCAGATATTATTTTGATAAAAAATTTTGAGGGAAAGAAGAAAATATAAAAGGAAAGAAAAGAAGGAAGGAGAGAGAAGAAAGGAGGGAGGAAGGGGAAGGAAAGAGAAAACCCAAGGCTCTGGAGCCAGTGTGCCCTGTCAAGTCATAAAGTCATATCCTCCCTCTGAACCTTGATTTTCCTCATCTGTGAAATGGAGCTAAGAAAAACGCCCTCTCCGGGTTGCTGTACTAAGGAGATGAGGTTGTGAACTTGGGGCATGTCACCCAGTAGGAGAAGTCTGACAGAGGGTCTGGAGCACAGGGGGTGGGTGCGAGGTGTGGACTGTACCTGGGTCAAAGAAGATGATGGCTTTGAGGCAGGCATACTCATTGTCATCGATCTGCAGCTCCTGGAATGGCAGCACCAGCTCGTCAAGGATGCGCATGGACACCCGGCTCATTTCTGCCAGCTCCGGGCAGTGCCGGGGGATGATGTAGTCATTACCTGGATGAATTGGGAAGGAGAGGGGATGGGGAAGCCACTTTGGGTGTACCCCTTCTCCCTAGCTTTGAACAGGCCCTGTCCTTTGCAGTTGCAATGCAGGTGGTGCCCATGGGAGGAGCGCCCCCTGGGGACTCTCATGCCCATTTTACAGATGAGAAAGTTAAGGCCCAGATTAAAGGAATGAGTAGCTTGAAGTCATTGGGCTGGCCCTGGAGCCTGGCTCTCTAGGACCCTTTCACATCACCCAAGTTCCATTCTCCAACAAGACCCACAAGACTGATGACATTTCAGGGTCACTTGGGAGGCACCAAAGCATCAAGGTTAAGGGCCCAGATTCTGGAACCAGACTGCTTGGGTTGAATCCCAGTTCTACCACTAACTAGCCAGGCATATTTAGATAAATTACTTTCTGTGCCTTGGTTTTTTCCATCTGTAAAATGGGGACAAATAATAGAACTTACCTCAGAGAGTTATTGTATTAAAGAAGTTGATATTTGTAAAGTATTCAGACTAGGATCTGGCCCATAGTGTGATCTATATAAACATTAAAATAATAAACAGACATGCCGTGAAGGCATAGGTGACCTAGGCTGGCGTTTGTGCCATCTCTGGCCGTCTCTTGCTCCTACTCCAGGAAGCACCTCAGAACACAGGAGTAATTCCAGGGCCAACCCTGAGTGTGCTTGAACTTTAATGCTGGGGAACTTTAATTCCTTGAGTCCATGTTTCCTTGCAGCTGAGGGGACAGGGCTGTTTCTGATCTGTCTCCCTCGCCCCAGCACGCCACCAGGGACATCTCCTGTGCCAAGGTGGGTTCCACACTGGATATGCCCTCCACAGAGTTCAGGCCGAGCAGGCCGCCTCCTCACCTAGTAATAGTACGTCCTTGAACACCATAGATCGCTTGGTGGCTCCGAGCAGCAGGTGCTCGCCGGCGTGGGCTCTGAGCAGGGCCACCTGGAAGAGAGAAGGGACGGCATCTGGTGTCTGCACCCCTGTGAAGGCTGCTCCTAGACAACTCACTGGCCCTGGGCAAGGCAGCTTCATGCTCCTCTTGCCCTCACTTGCCTGAACTATAAAATGGGCATCAGAAAACTGCTGCCTTCTTCCCATAACTGATCAAACCAGGGACCTGGAAAAGATTCAGCAGGAACCAGGAGGGGAAAGAATATGTGCTCAGAGTAGGAGACCAAATGTTGACTCTGACCTTGAACATTGGTGTTCTTGGGCAAGTTGCTGCTTCCCCATGGTCCTGGCTTATGTGCCTGGTGAAGCTGTGACAACATTCTGGGTGTATACATTTCTCATTAGAGGCTCAAAAGCTTTCATCAGGCTCTAAATAGGGTCTACTGGCCCAAAAGTTCTAAAACTGTGGGTCCCAAACTGCTACTCATGGACCAGCTATGAAAGATTTTGAAGAGCATCTTTATAAAATGCAGATTCTCAGGCCCTACTACCAGAGATTCTGATTCTGTATGTATGGCATTGGGCCCAAGGGTCTGTGTTAAATAAGCTCCCCAGTTGATTCTGATGTGCAGCTGTGTTTGGAAATCACTGCTCCAGGTCTCCAGGGCATCTGCCCACTTGACATTGTAGGATTCCAGGATTCTGAGAGTGAGCTACAAGACTTTGGACATGGATGTTGGTTCCCACTTAAGGCAAAGGCATGAGCGCTGGTCCTTGGAAGGGGATGAGCTTGACAGACACCTTTCCTGCAGAGAGGACAAGGCTGCCTTGGAGGCCTAAAGTGAGAGTAGAAGCCCAGCCAATTCACAGGAGGACATCTCCTGCCCTTTCAGAACCATCTGCTTTAGTGCTCGCATGAGAACTAAAGGTGGGCTGGGAAAATAGTAGCAGGCTGGTAGCCTCAAGGGTCTTATCTGCAACGCTGGGTTAGGGCGTTTGGAGGGGTTGTAGCAGGCTAAATTATGAAGTAAAAATGCTTTTGTTTATTAACTCATTTCATTGTTCATTCTTTCAGTCATCAAATGTTAAATGCCTACTAAGTGATGAACGCTTTTTAGGCAATGGGGACACAATGGTGAAAGGAAAGGAAGGGAAGGGGAGGGGAGGGGAGGGGAG